CTAGTATAAAAAGAAAGTAGATTTTATGTAAGGGGAAAAACAGTAATAATATCCACATCCATCAACCTGGCTTACCTAGAACTAGAAATACTATACAGCTGCCAAGTGTCAGTGTCTTTGTGTGCATTTTGTTGCCCCCCAGGCCTTTCATTCAGAAAATGAGGTGAAAAACTACCCCATGAAGGAACGCACTGAAAAGGAACTTGAGGAGCTTCAGAGGGTTGAGACCATGAGGCAGATTGAACAGGAAGATTCACAAATAAGTGTACAGTGTGTTACTCAAACAATAATGAGTCAGCTGTTGGAATGGATTCCTCCATAGCAACCAAAGCCTCATACTGAACAAATAGCAGCATACCATGACACAGTGTTTGTTTCTGTTATTTCACAAAATTTGACACAAATAATATACATATTCTTCATAGCTTCAAGAGATTATTTTAAGCACAATCTCTGGAGACAAAGAGGAAGAGGAGGCAGAGGACAGTAAGACAGAGAGTCCTGCTCTGACTGACTGGCAGTCTGAGTGCTCTATATGGAGGCGTCAATCCTTATCTCTACAGCCAGTTCAATTTACACATCAGAGAGCAGAAAATCAACCAAATCACCTTGCTAAAGAGCTAACACAGGCAGTCTCTATTTAAGATTTAAAAAAATCTAGGGTTAATCCAGAATTTATCTTACCTTTACTAGTCCAACTCACCAGATGTGTTGTCTAACAAGTCTGAACGTACACCCATTTTATTTCTTTCAAACTGAATATAGTTTTTGTATGGTTTCATTTGTGTAATTATGGCAAACACTGATTTAATATTGTGTATTATTGTGGACAATGGGCCTCACAAATGAATCTATGTGTGTTTTTAGATCAAGAAAATTGAGAAATGCCTCACCCCTGAGCAGAAAGAAAAAGAAAAGCTAAGAGAGGAAGATGAACGGCAAAGGCTTGCAGCCAAGGTATAATATTACTGTACCTCACAACAGGTGTGCTTTTAACAGTTAATTAATTACTTATTTTCATATCGTAATCCATGTTTAACAGTTTACTTTTATAAAAATATAATATTATATTCATCCATGAATTTTGAATCTAGTAATTATATATTCATATGAAAAATATTAATATAAATTTATTTTATCAATTTATACTCTTTCATTCAAAAGTTTGGGGTCATTTTTAAAGAAATAAATATAATGTACATGTTTTATCAGCAAGAATGCATTAAATTGATCAGAAATAGACAGTAAAGACATTTACATTGTTACAAAAAAACTTCTATTTCAAGTAAATGCTGTTCTTTTGAACTTGCTATTCATTAAAGAAAATGTTTTTATCATGGTTTCAACAATAAAGCAGCACAACTGTTTTCAACATTAAGAAGAAGAAATGTTTCATGAGCACCAAATCAGTATATGAGAATGATTTCTGAAGGATCATGTGACACTGAAGACTGGAGTAACGACATTACTCCCATTATGGAATATGTTACATTTTAAAATATATTAAAATAGAAAATTATTTTAAATTGTAATGTCTTACCAATCTTACCAACCCCAAACATTTGAACAGCAGTGTAGTATAATATATTAAACTGAAATATGAAAACTGGCTTATATTGGCAAAAACTGTAATGTGGATATTTCAGTTTGTCTCATGCTGTAGATGATAACAAATTTTCCATTGCAGTCTGACAACATGAGAGATCATGCACTCAGTGTTATGATGGGTGGAGTTCTGGAACTTAAAAAAGAGGACATGCTGAGGATGATGAGGTGGAAGAAGAATTAATCTTACTAGAATGCAAAAACGTATTTACCAAAAAGAAGATAAAGGCAGGGGAAAGTAACATTTAAGATATGCTTAACTTACAGGAAGTACCTTAGCCCGAGTTCATGTCTAAACCTGAGGTACAGAAGAAGAGAGAAAGAGCTTCAAAGATTTTGAAAAAAGCAAAGGAGCTCAGTGAGGAGAAAGAGAAATACAGAAAGGTATGACTTTGATCACAACTAACAGGGATAGTTCATCGAAAACTCTGTAGGTTTTAACTGTCAGGCTTCAAAAATGATAAAAAATCCACCAGAGTGTTCCATATAGCACATATACTATATTACAAATCATCTGAAACCATCCAATAACTTTAAAAAAAATCTTATTTGCAGTTAGGTATATTCAAAGTTGCCATCTCAAAGTCTGTCACAGTAAATGCAAAAACCAATGGGTGCTTGGCATCATTGATGTCAAATCTGCATTTTTGGGTGAATTATTCGCAATTACTCCCTTCCATTTCAAATCATTTTAACACTGTAGACCACTTTGCCTGTTTCTCTAGACACTAGAGACAGAAATGAAGAAACTGCTGACATCTATCAAAGAGGCTACTCAGATGTTTGATGAAAAACTCACAAAGCTGTTTGAAAGGAAGGTGAAATCAGAGATGGTCATATACCAAGTAAGCTGATACAGTACATCATTGCATTTTTGCATGTCACCTTTTCAGGGGCCTATTGTGTGCAATCGCATGACTTGCAAACACTGTAGTTACGTAACAGTAACTGCGCATCTACTACTTATAGATTGTGAGTTTTTATCCTTCAGGAGGCGCTCAAGATTGCTAACCTGGTTCACTCCATTCAAATCGAAGAAGAGATCCTAAGCAGAGAGAAACAGTTGAGCCTTAAACTTGAAAAGGCACGAATTGTAAAGGTGATCTATAGATATTCTGTCTCTTATCTTTTGTTCAGCACTGCTGTTGTCTGTTCACAGTAACTCTATATAACGTCAGAAATTGGCAGTTATAACTTGAGACTATTATGATGTTCCTGATGATGAGAGACAAAAATTTCATGCAAGAACAAACTTGTGTGGCACGCTAATCCGTTCCTGTGAGACAAACTGTTTTGCACATGTTCAAGTGTGATTCACCTTTCTTTCCTGTCAGAATGAAATAGGGGAGGAATTGAAAAAACACAAGGAGATTGTTGATGAGTCTAGAGAGGAGTATGATAACACAGTCGCTGAGGAAAAAGTAAGATTATGAATATATGATGCATATGCATATCCATAATGTTCTCACCAAGAAAGTCTTATAAATCATTTGCCTTTTTTTAAGCTTCTTGACAAAGGTTTACGCAAAGAGATTTTTGACGTCCCTGGACACATAATTGACCAGCTCTATAAGCTTTACAAATGCAGACCAAGGTATAATTTCAGAGGACTTGCAACTTCATAAGACATGTGCTTGTCCAGTTATCTTTAAAAACAGTAAGAGTGTTGTTTGACAGGGTTCAGAGGATGAAAACACAGACTGAAAATAACCCGTTCAAAGAGGGGGCGCTATTAGGAACAGCACCATCTGATGGACTCTCTGATGATGAAGGCCATGGAAGAGTTGGACACACCAGAGAACTTAATAAATTCTAATTTAATAAATACAGTTATTGATTAACTTATCTATTGCTGGTTTACCTATCAGGCTTTAGGAGATCAGAAGATTGCCAGCATGGTGGAGTGTAAAGACTTCCGCAAAGGAATCATACAGCAGGAGTGGGATCACAGCAGAATGAGAATGCAGCTGGAGGATCTCAGCAATAAAACCAGAGACATATAGACCCTGCGCATCGCAATATTGGTTGAAATATTCTTCATTCATTTTGTGCTTTTTTTTTCCCTGGCAGGTATATGATTGATAAAGTAAGCTAGTGAAAATTGAAAAGGAATTATTTAACAGATCTAAGACAAGAAGAAACTATGACTCAGGACTACCTTTGTCTTTGCTTTAAAGTGAAATTGAATGACAAAATATTACAATTACAAATGTATTAATTTTTTCTAATGTCAGTACCTAAATGAAACAAATAATGACAACAGGGTGTCAAAGCAGCTCGCAACTCTGGAGAGGACCACCGATTTACAGAAAACCTTTTTTTCCAAGTACCTAGCGGAGATATTAAGCATAAAGTAACTTTTCCAGATGCATATTTCTCAGCACATGTGTTCCCTAGTTGTAAATTCTTTACAGAAAGTTGTAAAGTCTGGATAATTACATGAATCAAATTCATTGACAGATATAATAGTTTGGTTTGTTCCACTCTTTGCCCAGACTCAGCAAAAGAATGTTGAGACTTTTAAGAAACAGATAAAGCACCTGGACAGACAAGGTGTGCAAATGCAAGAGAAGAACGCAGCCCTCGACTTGAAAGTGGCTGACATGGAGATAACTGTCACAGAGAGAAGAAATATTTACGAGGCTGTTGGTAACTGACTGTATATCTTGCCCCATTAAAGACACAACTGTTTTAAGTAACAATTTGTTTTTAGCAAAAATAGACTGCTTAGTCGTTTAGAGCACACGAGGCCTATGATGAAACATGAGAGATTACTGTGTTAATCATTCATAAATGCATTTATTTTTTTAAAGAAATTAATAATTTTATTATTATTCAGTAAGGACACATTAACTGATCAAAAGTGACAGTAAAGGCATTTAAAATGTTTTACTTCATATAAATGCTGTTTTTTTTTTTTTACTTTCTATTTATTAAAAAAAAAACTATCATGGATTCCACAATAATATTAAGCAGCATAAACGTTTTCAACATTGATATAATAATAATAAATGTTTATTAAGCACCAAATTAGCATATAAGAATGATTTCTGAAGGACCGTGCGACAATAAAGACTGGAGCATTGGCTGGAGTAATATATATATTCAGACAGAAAAGTTATTTTCAATTATAATAAGATTTAACAATATTACTGATCAAATAAATGCAGCCTAGGTGAGAATAAGATACTTTTTCCAAAGCATTAAAAAACATTTTGATCTGCAGAGTAAATTGTACCATTGAATTAAATTAATTTTTCATTTTTAAACTTTTATGTATGATTTGTACTGTAAATTCTGCTCATGGTTCATGTATAAGGCCCAATAACTCTTTTATATTATTCACAAATATTATTTTGTTTTCCAGCAATGGGAGATAACCAAGACACAGAGGCAGAGAAGAACTACTCAGATATCATCTTAAGAAAGAAAATGTTGAACACAGTCAGAGCACAATCTGACGAGATACTCATACTGAGAAACTGCTTATGATGAACTTCCCATCTCTTTCTCAACTACACTACAACTGATTTAGGATACATAACTGAGATTTATTATTACAGCTTTTGGTTGAAAAATACAGTTATTTCAATACAAAGTTGTGAAAAGACAACAGAAGTAAAATAAATTAAAATACAGTTTGATAAACCTACCAAAATTCACACTGCAATGAGTTATATAGAGTATAATGTGAATAGTCTTCCTATCTGAATATATTGATGAATGACCTGGTCTGAAAAGGCTTCTTACAACCCATTTAAATAGTGTCAATAAAATTAATACAAACGATACATTTCAGTTGTCCGTGAAGTCTTCCTCTGTCCTGTCAAAGTGCAGTATTTTGTCATCTAAGCCTAAATTGTCTATAAGCTGAGACAGACTGACTTGTTTTCCCTCTGTGGGTAATTCACACAGCACTGACTGAGCACAGGATCTCCATTTGTCTGTGAGCTTCTGCAGCTGGGGCAGGTCATTCTGAAAGAAAAGACCGCAAAGAGTGAAAAACTGAAAGAACATCATCATTCGTGTTAATTGCAATACTTGATTAAGAAATAAATGTTTACCTTTTTCCTATACATCCTGACCATCTTTAATCTTCGCATGGTTTCTGATTTCTCCTTCACTGCTTTTCTTAGCTCTTCATATTGCTGATTCGAGTCTTTTTGTGCAGGCTCAGCTGTGTGAAGTGAACAGTCTACTTTCTCCTTCGTATCATTCAGATTGACATCAGTATCAGGGTCTCTGTCGGTCAAACTGTGGTTAGTGTCTCCCAGTTGTGAGGCCTGTGGTTGATCGTCATCTGCGATTTTAAGGCGTTTAACCACACTGTGGGGGGATCTGAACGAGTAGCGTGATCTTTTTAACTTCTCCTTCAGTGAGGAACTCATGGACTGAAGCAAAAAATATCAACAAAATATCAACAATGCTCATATGTGAGTCTAGGCACAGTCAGTCATATTTTTTGTGTGGAAAATAAGCTCTTCACACGTATGAACGTGGTGTATCTACTCTTTGCTAATTTTAGCTTCATCTGAAAATATTAGATATCAAAAAGGCAGCGCTTGACCTGCTTGAAGAAGACTGGGCTGTACTTCGTGTATTTTCATTAGTTGGTGTCAGTTTTATCGGGGTTGTCTCCATGATCACATCATATGAAATCGCTATGAAGAGGAGAAAACAGTTACATAACTCTAAAATGACAGGGCACTATTTACGTATCTTCTGCCGTAAAAATACAATCGGAAGCAACTCTAGGTGAAAATGATCTTTACAGCTGTAATGTTATCAGTAGGCACTCTGAAGTTTTGAAATTGTCTTCTTCTTGGTGTGTTTTGAAATTGGTGCAAGAGCCACAAATTCATCGTCATTTCCGGGTCGCCTATACGTCATTATCATGAATCATGGGAAACGTAGGCATATGGCAGATAGAGTGCAAACCAGTAAAAGTAAACAACAGTGCAGATATAATGATTTTAGTGCAAAAAACAATGATTTGTAGTGCAAAAGAGCTTATTTCGACTGATTAAAGTGACAGAGTGTGTGTGTATTTGGGAGGGGGGAGTGGGAGAGTCCGTTAGAGGGTCAGAGTTCAGTGGTGCGTGGGGCAAAAGAGGGGAGGGGGGGCAAGGTCGGGAGGGAGTTCAGCTTCCTGACAGCCTGATGGATGAAGCTGTCCTTCAGTCTGCTGGTCCTGGCCTGGAGACTCCGCAGTCTCCTCCCTGATGGCAGCAGACTGAAGAAGCTGTGTGTCGGGTGGGTGGGATCACCTGCAATGCAGAGGGCTTTGCGGGTGAGACGGGTGTTGTAAATAGAGGTCATTTATAGAATATAATAGAATAGTTATAATGTAATAATATACTTTGTAAGTTATTAAAATAATATAATTTATTTTGTATATTTTATAATAATATATAGGCTAATAATATTTTGCACCATTCACAGTTAGGACTTACACAAAAATGACAATGTGAACAAATTAATAAACCCATCTTATCTTAAACTAACTGTAGGTAGACAACATGGTTGAAGGAGAAATTGTAAAACTGTGAAGATAATTATTTGGTTAAAACTTGCAAATGCAGAATGCAGCACCTCATAGTTTATTATTTTTAAATCACATAATACCAGAAAAGGTTTTGACTATTTGACTATATATCTGTTATATCAATCAGCTACATCAATTGAAAAATATAGATATCCATGCATAAAGAATAGCAACATATGATCTAAACATATTTCTTCAGTCTTCTTGTCTTGTGCAGATGAAAGGGACTAATAGGATTCCAAAACTGAATCAGAGGTGACACGGTTTGAATGAACCCATGTATAGAATCAAAAACAAAGATGTCGAAATAAATGAATCAAACTCTGAATCATTATAGTGATGAATCCATGAATTATGTAGCTTATATAACAAACATACTCAACAAGTATCTTGCACAAAACCACTGCAAAAACAGTAAAGAAGAAGAAAAGAAAATCCTCTCTTTTCAAATTAAGATGATTACATTGGTGGTTCAGTTCATTCATGTTCTTCTTTTTTCAACCCCTTTACTCTTCTACTTCTACTGGGAATTTTTTCTGTCTTGTTATAACTTGTCTATGAAATTAAAATTGTTTAATAGCTGTATAGTCATGCAACCGTGCTCTCTCACGTTTCTAAAATTTGTATGGCGTCTAATACAATGTGCAAAGAGAGAGAAAGATGCGTATGGGGTGGAGTTAAAAATGTTGTGACTAATGTGCATTTTGTATCAGCAGGGTGTGCCCACTGCCCACTGGGAAAAAATGTATCCATAGAAAATGGCATGTAAATCCCAAGGGAAGCAACACCCTTTTCCCTCTGAAAACTTGTATGTGCCTGAATTCCATTTGGAACATTTGCATTGTTCTTTGATCCAGCTGTCTTCGGATTATTCACTGAGATAATGAGTAATAAAATCACTTAATATGTATCATATAGGACTGGCTAAAATGGTATGCATGAACACTCTGTAAGGATGTTAAACTCTTGCTGGTAATATAAGCCGGACATATCCTCATATGACCCCAAATCATACAAATGTTCTGTCTGTAATCAGCTGGCGCATTCAGCTAAAGTAAAATTATTATAGTCATGTTCCTACAGTTTATTTAAAGACGCATACTTTCTTTGTAGTGATTTGAAAGGTATATTTAAACATGATTTGATTCCCAGGAAATGTATGAGCTTTCAAAAAGGTACTAATATGTATAATTTAGGTACTAATATGTACTTTTAATATGTAACGCTTTTGTACAAGTGGCAGCTTTGTAACTTTTTTCCTGAGAATATATATCTGAAATGCAATATGTATGTCGCTCATAAAGCACTTCTGTAGTGTATTTTAATAAGAGACAAAGCATGAGCCTCCCAAAGTTATATAATGTAATCGAAGTCTTTATGACCTAACTTCCTACATGGCATATTATTATACAATGGCTTAAATAATTTATTCTAAAATATTTTAGATTAATTGCTTCAAGCTGAACAACATGCATTTTCTGTCCTGTTTATGCTGCTATGCCAACAGTAGTAGATTAAACTTTTTTTTCTGTGTGTCAGTCTAGGCGAAGTTACTGACGCATAGATAATACATCCAGCCACACCTGTGTTCACCTGAACATGTCTTAAAGCTTTAGTTTGCTGGAACATAAAGGATAAAATTGTGATTCCTGAGGGTATTGTCTTTTTTTAAAAGTCTGTCTGTGTACCTGCCAAAAGACAGGGGAGTGGCTTGGCATAAAATCCTACCCAGAACTCCTGTGGAGACTTGCTGGTCAAAGGAGAGAGAATATCAGAAAGAAAACAGCAGAAGTCAGGTAACAACATTCATTCTGCACAGGTGAAGTTCACAGGCAACTCTTAAGTGAACTTTATCTAAAATCCCTTTCTCTTCAGATTCTCAAGGATCAAAGGTAAAATATTTTATTAATGATTTTGCTTTCTAAATTTTTTTCTTTTAATCACAAAAAAGAGAAAAGATAAACAAATAGCAATACATTTGTGCTTTGTTAGGCTATGTAAATATATATATTCCTTCTTATTTATTCATAATTATTGCTTTTTAAATGATTCCCGTTGCACTCCTCAAATATTTATTTGAAATTGTTTTTGTAAACATATTTCTTTGTATTTTGTTTCCGTGCGGGACTGCACCAAAGACAAAAACCCAGACTGAAACAGTAGAAACCAAAACGTTTGTTTTTGTGATAATAATGATAAATTATGGGTCCATTTTATTAATTATGAGACGTTTTTAATGTTTCATTGTTTTATTCTAAACTTCGCAGTAAATGTGGGGAAGAAGTCGGGTTAAAATCTGAACTGATTCTGAATTCAGGGATGAAAAGCTCTGTACAGACAATCACCATTAGCAAATAAAGGCATTATTTGTCTATGGGGGACCATTCACTGTGTTGAGCTTTTTCATGTATTGTGGTTTGCAGGGAAACAGTAGCTGGTCTTGCGTTTGAAACTGAAGATGTGAGGAGGGTGGGGTGGTGATAAATTGCTATACTCTCTCCACTGTAAATATGAGACTATAGTTGTACTTGCTAGTCTTTTGTTGGAGCAAAAAATTGTCCTTTAGGCATTATTTTTCATTAAAGTTGAATTTGGGTATATGTGTCATTTGTAATTACTTTTTGGAAATGGTGTGGAATAATCTTCCATTCTATAATATTCTTGCCTTGAGTAGAATCTGCTAGGAAAGAGAAGAAATCCTTTTGTTTATCAGTGTGCATGCAGTTAACATTTCTTGTTAAAGCATGTTGCTGTGATGGACAAAGACAGTAAAACATATCTTCTTGTAAAAACAAATTATTCTGTAATTTCATTCAGGAATATATCACAAATTAAGTATAATTGACTAAATAAGTTTATGTATATAATGCATAATATTTATTGCAGCTCTTCTCATCAAGTACTATCCCACAGTTCAACTGTAATAGAAACACCTTAAAGCTCTATTTGAGTATGTCTAGATCTAGACTGACTCTGCTTCGTATCACACCGATTTGAATGATCTGTAATTGTTTTGCTACATTTATTTAGCATGGAATGGATGATTTAAGACAGCAAAGAAACTATTCAGGAGGAAGTTCAGGAGAGAGAGGTAAGGGTGTTTGATTAGCTTGAGTTTATCAATTTGCTGTGAACCTGAACCAAAATCTTTTGTGAAAATCTTTTCATTGTGAAGACTGAGCCACCTGGTTCTGTAATGTTACTAAGAAGCTTGATTATTATTTTGATGAAGTGGCAACGTTTTATTCAGCTATATGTTTTTGAATTTCAAAGCAAGAACTGTTCACATTTATAAGACATGTATTATGAAAACAGGCATCACAGAAACAATTTCTACTACTAGAATTACATCTTTACCTCCACGTAAGTTACCCCTGTTCACTTTCCCATGTACATTTGATCTGTTTTCACTGTCTGATTTATTCATATTCAATGCCTTCTTCTTCTACTGAATTTGTGCATTATGGGAAAATTCCTGCTTGTTAAACTGTGGCTGTAACTTGAGCATCTTTTTCAATATGAGATCAAAGTGGTCATTGCTGTAATTTACCGTGTTTTTAACCCGCAGGAGGCTTCAGTGCATCCGCCAGCAAGGGCATGTCAAGCACCTCTGGGTCTCCTGGTCTGGAGAAGAACATTTTGACTCAGAACAACAGCAGTTCTTTTTTTTCATCGTGTAAGCCAATCTAGCATTATTTTTTAAGAGTTACACAATAATTAGTTTCAGGTTTTACTCTGATACAGTCTTTATACTATATATTATATGTTTAATATTTAAAACAAACTCATATATTTCGTCCCTGTTTGTGTGTCTCAGCATCTGTGGGTGTGAGTGCAGGTGGGTTAGGCTCTGGATCAGGAGAATATCTGGCAGAGGAGACAACTGTGAGCAGGAAGACAGGTGGTGCCTCTGGAGTTTTCGAGAGTCTCTCTGGTTCGGGAACTGGGTCGAGGCTGAGATCCAGCTCCACTGATGGCATGAGAAGAACACAAGTCTCCCCTTTGTTTGTGGAGAGGAAAAGCAAAACTACTCATTCACGTCGTTATGATGGTTAGTCACAACTGAGACACCTTAAATAAATAAATAAATAAATACTTTTTTAGCATTTGTTTTGTCAGTCCCTCATAATTACACTAGCATGTAATATATATATTTTTTAACTTCAACAGGAAGTTCAAGTGACAGCTCATCCCCAGAAATAAAAAGAAAAGACTATGGTAAGACCCTCAGCCAAATTTTAAAAAATGTTTAACGTAGTTTATATGATAGAGACAAATGAAGAAAGCATCTTCATTTGTTCTTTAGAGTTTTATTGTACAAAAAGCACAAATGGAACATCAGGAT